GTAGCAGCAGGGTAGTTTTCTATTAATAATTCCTAGCTTGCAAAGGCTGCATTTCACCAATAGATCTCAAAGTGCTTTCTAAAGGAGGTCAGAGTCATTAGCCCTATTCTATGGGTAGGAAAAACAGGCATAAGGAGACAACAGGACTTTCCCAAGGTCACCCAGCAGGAAAGTGACAAAATTGGGAATAGCGCACTGCACTGTAAATTGTGCATCCTGGGTTCTATCGGCTAAGGCATTGTCTTTTCAAGCCATGAAAAACGTTAAACGAGAAATTTTTTTAACTCCTGCTCAATCAGCTGTGAAAATTTGGTCAGTGCACGAAGAGCTAAAGTTACACCTGGCTTGAGGTAACTTTGCTGGAGTCATGCTCCTTTAAAACAGTCATGAACCTAACTCCTTGGGGTCCTAAGGGCTTTAGAGGACAGTACAGCGAGTCATGGGGAGCAGCATTTCATCACGGCCCCCCCTTGCTATTTAGACTATAACATGGGGGTCCCTGTGGGCAATATGTCTAAGTAAACGGCTGGTGGCAGCCTTTCCTCGATTACGTGGGCTTGATACAATCTATCGAGTCCAACAGAAGCTGCAGCAGGGCTTTGAGATGAGGTTTTATATCGCTAGGGGCATGTCTACACTACGGAGTTGTCGGAAAAATGGCCATTTTTATGACAAAACCTGAGTTGTGTTCACACTGCAGTCATAGAATCATAGAGCTGGAAGAGGCCTCAGAAGTCATCAAGTCCAGCCCCCTGCTCTAGGCAGGACCAATCCCAACTAAATCAACCCGGCCAGGGCTTTGTCAAGCCGAGACTTAAACACCTCTAGGGATGGAGACTCCACTACTTCCCTAGGTAACCCATTCCAGAGCTTCAACACCCTCGAGGGCTGTGTCTAGACTGCATCCCTTTTCCGTAAAAGGGATGCAAATTAGACACATCACAATTGCAAATGAAGCAGGGATTTAAATCCCCCCCGCTTCATTTGCATAAACATGTCTGCCGCTTTTTTCCGGCTCAAAGCTTTGCCAGAAAAAAGCGCCAGTCTAGATGTGGATCTTTCGGAAAATAAAGCCTTTTCTGAAAGATCACTTATCCTTTATTTTAAGAGGGCGCTTTTTTCCGGCAAAGCTCCGAGCCAGAAAATAGCGGCAGGCCTTTTTTTTC